TTCAAATTAGCAAGCAACAAGTGATTCTTGTGTTAGTTTTACTTCACACAATCATAAAAACATTTTCTCCAACATGGTAGTGGAAGCTTTTGACTCCTCTTGGATTTGGTGACTTTTTGGTTCTTAATGCTAGTTGACTTTCACTAATTACATGCTTAATGGAATTAGTGACTTTAACTAAGGAAATTGTTATGAGCTTCTCTAACCATTTCAACAATTAAGAAAAGTCTAGGTAATCTCAAGCTCCTTGGATTACTATAGCCAAATTAAGGGTTTAAATCAAGTATTGCACCATTGGATTCTAATGATATGTTCATCAAAAGTCAAAGTGAGGAAACCTTAAGTCAACCATCTTTCTCTTATTGATTTCACATCAAATTCTTATTTTTGCCAAATTGTTCATTTAAGTTCTAGTTAAATTCTAGTTTTAATTTAAGTATTTCAAAAAGATCAAAACCCCCATTTTTATTTTATTGTCATTTTACAAGTACTTTTGTAAAAAGATTTTCCATAAGAGTTATAAATTGAACCAATCTCCGTGGATCGACCCTTTTTCCACTATACATTATTTTGGTGTGTAATATTTAGGGTTATTATTTTTGTTGGCCTCGACAACCACCAACCATATATCACAATACATATATATGCATACAAAATGGACCCGTCCAAATTACATAATGGGCCCCGCCCAACTACCTAATAGGCCCCACCCGATATACATAACGGGCCCCACCCAAACTACATGGAAGGCCTCGCTCGGCATACATAACCATACATAGAGACTACGCATTAAGTTCTACTAATACAGGCATATAGAAGTTGTATTATCGGCTCTATTTTACTAACTCCTATGTCCTAACATACATGGATATATATATATATATATATATATATATATATATATATATATATATATATATTGTAACACATGATATAGTGAGATAACTCACCTGGATAATTACTATGACGATAGAAAGATATCCCTCCCTCATAACGGGTAACACGTTCCTATGACAATCTGATAAATAAAGCTAGATCCATCACTAATCCCAATGAATACCAATAGTTCTCTCAAATAAGGATAAGCCACGACGGACAGTTGGGAGGCAATATCATTTCGGCATATAGCTTTTCTGAAATCCAACAACCAAGCCAAAATGACCATTATAGACACCTTTCCTGTAAGTATATCAATCGGTACTATGACTGGAATTACTGATAAATCTTATTTACACATTCATAACAATGACTATGAACATAAATATAAGCTACACTTAAAGCATCGTAAGTATGGACTAACTTATAGAGAGTTTCTAGCGAAACCGGATGATTACACTGGTAGAACTTCGACCCGAGAGATTCTATTAGTCAAGCCTAGATGTCCAGAGCTTCGCTAAACTAAGGTACTCTGAAATCCCAAAGAAAGACCTCAAAATCGGCCTTAGAAGTAGAGAGAGAGCTATGACATGGTGTGAAGAATGAACTGATTTATATATATATATATATATATATATATATATATATATATATATATATATATATATATATATGTGTGTGTGTGTGTGTGTGTGTGTGTGTGTGTCGCGTACTTGGTGGGGGTGGGTGATGTGGCGTCGTTTGGGTTGTGCCACGTAGCATAAATCTAATGGAGTGTCAGTGCACGCCACACACTCTATCGTTGCGTGCTAGCACACATGGGGATTTTCCGTTTCTTCAAAAATTTATATCTTCTTCATACGTGCTCTGTTTTCGACGTTCTTTATATCTACGAGTAACTATCGATGAGATCTACAACTTTTGTTTAGACTCCGTCGGCAAATTCTTACTTTCTTTTTAAAACTATACTTTTAACATACTTAGACTGTTAAAGCCCGTATAAAAATCATAACTCTCATATATGAATTCCGTTCTCGACTGTCTTTATATCGACGAAATCATATGGATGGGATCTTCAACTCACATTCAGATTTTTTTTCCTAGCAATCGACTGATTTCTATTTCGGTTTCTGTGTCGCGCATTGCTATGTTGAACTTCTATAAATTGTAACTTCCTCTTATGAAGTCGGATTTGGACGTTCTCTATAAGCACACTCTCGATTTTGCGATTACTACGACCTTTGTCAAGACTATTTATCCCAAATAGTCTTCTATCAAAGACACGTCTATTTACGTAAATGGTCGTTTATACTGTAAGGCGAAAATAGGTTGTTACACCTAGCTATCACATCCCTTAAATAATACATAAAACCCGAAAAATTAGGGTTTACACTCTGAAAATCACCACGTTGTGGCCATAACCTTGCCACGTCGTGGTACACAAGAATAATGCGCGTTGTATAAGGCCATAACCACGTCGTGGTGCATCCTCCACCACGTCGTAGTCATCACAAAATCCATATTTTACTTCTTTAATTTCCGAAAACATAAATGAATCATTTACCTGGAATAGATGTTACACTGTTAGGGGTATGACGTGCCCTTCCCTCGAGCAACTTGAAAACATTTAACTTAACAACGTATGCATAAAGATTTGTGAGTTTCCCCAGTATACCACACATTCCACCATACATACAATGCATACACGCAAGGCTCTCAACTCTATAGGCGATCAACCATGATCCCAATCAAACATACAAATCAACATTACATATACAATCATTGTCACCCGAATATCATACCCCTAATGACTCTCGGCCACCGGCTCCCAACCACTATACAACCACAGCCGTCCCACAACCATACAGAAGCTACAACTAATATTGAAGGATCGCCTCATGAAATGTGTAGTCATACGTAGTCAGAAAATAAGATAGCTAGTTGAACATGTGTTCTTACCCTAAGGCCTTTATCACACAAGAACATGCAATAAATCCATATCAAGAGTTCTAAGGTTATCTGATTTAAACTACATACAACTCGTCGATTCAATTTAGAGAGAAATAGGCTCTCTTAATCCAGGGGCGGAACACGGACATTAGATTTGGAGGGGCCGAAACCAAATTTCAAACAAAAACCATATAAAGATGTTTATGGGTTATTTTTTCATGTTAATGTATATATATAACGAAATTAAATAGGAAAATAAAATAATAGTTATCAAATAGATATTATCAAACCATTAGTTATTTTTACCAAAGTATGCTAAAAACACAAAATAAAATTAAAAATAAACAATCAATACAGTTCCTTCGTAGGTTTATGAATTAAAAAACTTATGCTTTAATAATTAACCTAAATATTTAATACAAATCAATAAAGTGTACATTTATTTTTTTATACTATTGATTAACAAAGATAAATATGTTTATAAGTTAATCAAACTAATTTCATAAATCAACATTAGTAAATAAGATATGTAATAAAATGATTATAAATAAAATAATATCAAATAACAAATATAGTTATATCATAAAGCTCAGATGACATCATCACAGTAACATTACCTTTACCCATAGGAGAGAGAGCGTAGCCCATTTGTCTTTCTACCTTCTGAATATTTACATCAGGATGAGAGAGAGTATGTTCATATTACTCTTTGGCTTGAACATCTGTTTCAAAGAAGACATGGTCTTAGTTTATTTTTGATGGCGATTGGCGATGACAAGAGAAGCATAACAAGTCGGCGAGGGCTAGACACGATGTGGTGAGGGGGAGATGTCGAGATACAGCAAAGGCGCAACAACAACGATAGTAAACCGACTCTGTTTTCTGGCGACTGGTGATGATCACGTTTAAGATCCTCCTGGGTTTCTTAATCTTCTGATTTGTTTTTTACCTCCTTAACTTTATTTTGTATATTATTCTATGTTACTCCTTTATCCCATTTTTAGTCAATGACAGGTTACATTACCCTGTTTTAGGAATATTTTCTTTCCCTTCTATTTAACCATGATCTTTTGATCGTTTGTTTCTCTCATTTTTATCTATTTTATTATTTTTTTACCGAGGGGCCAAAAATAAAGGATACGTACATAATTGTTTTGAAAGAAAAATCTACTTGTTGAAGACTAGTTATTAGGCAAATAACGCAGGGGCCATGGCACCCTTAGGCCCCTTAAGGGTTCCGCCCCTGTCTTAATCGCTTGTTTGATTGGTTGATGGAAAGTTTAAACTGAAAATCGGTTGGTTGGTTACAAAACATAAAAGAGGGCAAGCCCCACTTTTTGTACTTAGTTTTCTCAGCTCCTACGAAGTGTAATGTAATTTTATCGTTCCAAAAGTATTGCAAGATACTTATTTTTATGCAACCACATATACATCATTTTCTCTTTTTAATTTGTGCTCTGTTTCTTTTTTATCTTTTTATAAACGATTAAGGTTTTATGATGTTTTAAACATTTAATTAGTAAATAATTTTGTTAAGAATTATGGCATATCTCTAAATATTATTAAAAGAGAAACTTGATGACATCACTTTCAACAATCAGGACCATTCATTGTATTAATTTCAACCCTTAGATCGTTTTGCATTATTCTGATGATGTCATCCTAAAGAAAAACAAATCACTATTGATTGAACGCATTCCAAATTCGCTTGATTACAAAACGTCCGTGTGTAATAAACACTTTCCATGTTGAATTCGATAAATCAACCACCTAATTAGAGATTTTTGATAAGTCAATGAGGATGATTGCAACATATTTGATTGAAATCCTTTCTGAATCGCTTCCTCAAGCTCAGCTATTACACGATTACATCGTCTCTAGATTAGGGTTCTATATTCTTATTCATCTTTTCATTCTGATTAATTAATCTTAACCAACAGAGCTATCAGATGATTCTAATCGTCTTCTCTCTCAAAGACTAGAACTTAATAAACATTTGTTATATGTAGGTGCTTGAAGACGATTACAAAGATAGAATTCTGATTACTCAATCCACAAAAGAAAATAAGGAATTGAAGTTTTTGGCCCCTTGCAACTCTATCATTGATCGATTGAAGAATCAATATTGATCTTACAGGTAACATCTTTAGATTATGGATTGATCAAGCCACTCAATGCAAATTGACGACAGGTGTGTTTTTGTAAAAAGAATTGTGACACTGTGTTTGTTTTTTCATTTGTAAGTTCAACATTTATGAACATATTCTTGATTTCTTTTTGCGATTTTTGTACGATTTTGAGACAATTGCTGAAGATTGCATTGAAAAGTGGTGCTTTACGTCATGACATCCTTACTTTAGGGTTTTGGTCCCATGTTCGTGGTGGAGTGTGGGTGTATTCAAATTATGTAGAGAACCTCATAAGCGCAATATTCTTGTATGAATTTAAGATATTGACGATTTGTTATTGCAATTTAAGTTATCAATTGAGTGAATCCGTTGCTTATATTATTGTATGAATTTAAGATACTGTCACCATATGTAAAAGGGGAGGGCCCAGAAGCACGAGAAGGCCACAGTGCTGCCCTAATTGGCAAAAGACTCTTCATTTTTGGGGGATGTGGGAAGTCTTTTGACTCTCCTTTTGAAGAATATTTTGATGATTTATACATCTTGAATACAGGTGACTAGTGTTTCAATTTCAATTCAATATTGTAAAATGACAATTTTATCCCTTGTCTTCAGAGACAATGTTATGGAAGCGAGTGGCAACCACTGGAATTCCACAGCTAAACGTAATAGCCATACTTGTGTCTCATGGAAAAACAAAATCATTGTGATTGGTGGAGAAGATACACAGAACTATTGAATGTCTATTAAATGTCTGATGTCCATATGCTTGATGCTGGTTTCAATCTTGAGTTTTTCTACCAATTTTTTAATGTCATGACCTAATTTCTACATTCTTATTCATAGATACACTTACTTGGACAAAATTGGTGACCAATGGTGAGCTTTTGCCATCTAGAGCTGGGCATACAAACATTGCATTAGGCAAGAATTTGTTTGTGTTTGGAGGTTTTACTGATGCTGAAGATCTGTATAATAACTTATACATGTTTGATCTTGGTATGTAAATTGTAATGTAACAGAAGTATCAAGTTTTGTTTTTATTTTTTTATTTTTTTATGATATGTTATTTCTTGATATTTCCAACATTTGTGCAGAAACTTTTACATGGACTAAAGTTATGACAATAGGAGAAGGGCCTTCTGCAAGATTTTCAATGGCTGGAAGCACTTTACATCCACAACATGGAGGTGCTCTTATATTCATAGGTGGATGCAATAAGAAACTTGAAGCACTTGATGACATGTTCTACCTATTCACAGGTTTAATTTAATCAATCCTTGAAGTGAATTTCACAATGAATCAATTACCTTACATTACTGATTATACATTTATGCTAACTTATTTTGATTTTAGGGATTATAACTAAAAACGGAAGAGATGAAAGAAAACTGGAGAAGTTATCTTTGAGAAAACAGTTGAGATTGAAAAGTCAAGAACATCAAGGTTTGACTTTGACTCCAGTGTGCGATACCGATACCCAATGGCAATGCCAAGTCATATCCAATTTCCACCAAGTACGAGTTTTTTTTTGTTTTTTTTTATTTTGACTTTTTCTGATTATGTGTTGACATTTTGACTTTTTTGATTTGCAGATTGACAGAATGTGTATTTGAATGAGTATCATAATCCACAAGGGAAGAGAACATTCCAAGCAAAAGTAACAAAAAAACATTACAAATTGTTATACAATTGAGACAGTTATAGATAGGAAGCCGAAGTTTTATTCTCAAACAACATCAAGAAAACAGTTGTTGATGATTTAAGAAGGTTGTAAATCTCTTTAATAAACCTATATTTGATGACTTAATAATCCAATTTGATTTTTTTTTTAAAAATATTAGGAAAAGAGTTGCAGTTGAGAGTGTAAAAAAGGGATTTGAGCATGATACCACAAAAAGTCCTGAACCTGAACATCATACACATGGTACAACTTCTGCTGCTTCTGATATGAAGACACCAGCAACTTCTAATGCTTCTCCACCTCATGAGGTTATTTTTGTAATTCTAATAATCATTTCTTTATTTTGTATGTTTAACATAATAAATTAATTACTCAAAGTGTATGTATGAGATATGATCTTGTTTTGTGCAACTAATATGCAGGTTGCAGGAGGGGTAAAATCATCTTTAGAAGTTAACAAATTGAATCCATCAACAGCAGCTGAAGACACTGCCAATTCAATTCCAAATCCAAACCTTGGACATGGTATTTTACAATTTTATAATTTTATAATTTTATAATTTTATAATTTTATAATTTTATAATTTTATAATTTGTGATGTTCTTACAAGCTTAAATTAATGATGGTTGAATTTATTGCAGATGGTGAATCTCAGCCCTTGACCGGTGAAGAACATGGTCAACAAGTATGAAGTATGAATGATTCTCATTTCTTCTCATCCACAAATCCATCAAGTCTTGTTTATATAAGGTAAGGTTAGTTTAGACTTTTCACACCAACCACTACTATATTCACTTTTTATGTAACTTGCAGTCAAAAGTACTGATATTTATAACTTTTTTTATGCTTATGAATAGATATCCACATCATTATAGAACTACAAATTTCTTTACGCTTTATTCATTGAGTTGAATGGTGTTGATTTATTAGTTGTAAGGGGTATATATATGTTGGGGAAAAAAATACCAAAGTTTATCATTTTTTATAAACCAGATTAATCGCATTTATTAATCAATGAGTTAAAATTGCTTAATTTCTGCAACTTGTTTCTACCTCTACTTGAGTAGCTTCTGATTTGTGGGTGATTGCTGGAGTTGTTAAAGAGTGATCGATGATGATAGTAAATAAACAAACAACTAAATCAAGTCACTAATTTGCTTGCAGACTCCATTCCATCTTTATTACAAATGGAGTAGCATCATAACATCAACAATGTAGTAGGAAGGACAGTTTATTCTTTCTCTCTTGTGACAACAACACTTAATAAGTTTTAATTCTTTTATCAACTTCATTAGCTGTCAAACTTTTTACCGAAAATGTTATCCGTTTTTTTTTCTTTTTCATCTCAATGCTTAACTGTTATAAAATTGGATTCCTTGTCGCTATTAATTTTGATTTATGTAGTAGATTTTTCAGTGTCTTGAGCTCTTTTATGTTAAATTGTAAAATGCATGTGCCTATTTTACTAAACTAATTACATCAGTATATCATTTACATAAACACATATCAAAACTAGGCTATCATGTATGTAGGAGTACACAAACACATAAACCGTTAAAGAATTTTGAGTTACATCAGGAATCGAGACAAAATGACTTTGAGCAATCGCTGGCAAACGATTTGCCCCCTTTTATATCTAAATCAAATGGTCACATAGATATGATGCACCTTGATGGAATACTCGAGTCCAAAGTATTGTAAATGAGTGTACGCTCAAAGATTCATTTATACCAAAAAATCATCATCAAAATGTGAAAAATTAATTACCCCATATGGTTGATTTGTAGTTTAATTCAAAGTGATTTGTGAATCGTTAGGATATTCGTTGAATTAAGAGTTCATTAAAGAATACCCAAGTTCCAAGACAAAAGAAAATGACCTTGAATATTCTTTGTGATTTCATTTTTAACTGTGAAGAATGATGATGAGACGTAATATCTAAATTTGTACATTTTTGTTCTTTTATTTTACTCTTTATACCGTATAATTGAAGTTATTAGACGTGTGCTTGCAATTCAGGTTCTTTCACTTGACATAAATTAAGAAACAACTATCCCACACATATTTTTTAGTTCAACTCACGCTAAAGTCTAAACATGCCATGTTGCCGATTATATGACGGGTAAATTTGAGGCAATTGTAATTGCTAATAAACATAAACTACTTATTTTGATATGTTTTAATTTTTAAAATTAGTTTTGGAACATCTTTTAAGATTATTTGACATTTTGATTTATGTTTTATACGATGTGTTAAAAACAAACTTATAACAATTTCATGTTTTTTCAAAATCAGTTTTAACCAAGATAGAACCATTTTTTTATTACAAAAACATATTAAACTAGATTTAAGACAATTTAGAAGGATTATTAAGCTCAAGAAGTGTGATATTGTTTCTCATGCTATATTAGAAGCAATCCAACTGTTCTTAGCGCAAGGTTTGAACATTGAACTTCCTCTATGGAATTTTGTATCGCAATTATTACGCTCCCATCATGGGGAGCAATGTCGATCACATTAGATGATATGATACGAAAATCACCAGCATTCATGTACTATTTAGTCTGATCATTGACTAACTCAAATGATATAAACTCAAGTATAAATGAAAATGTTTTGAAAATTGAATTTTCCTTTTGCAGTATTACACATTCAAACACTCGAGAATTTGTGCTATGTATTAAACCATCAACCAATTTTGACTACCTAACGATAAGGCCAAGGGGTGTGGCTACAACAGAGGCCACACCACCCCCTCCACATCATCACAAACACCGCCCCTCCACTGTGGTGGGGGTGCGGTGGAGGCCGCACTATGGTACCCCAAGGGAGCGCTCATTTCTTTCAATTTCATTCCAATTGACCGTTGAACGGTTAGATTTAAAAAAAATGTTTCTTTTTCTTTCCTTTTAAACCTTTTAGCATTCCTATTTAAACCTCAAACCTTTACAATTTTTTTCTATCTTTCTACTACATTTCCTATCAAAAAAATTAAAAAATGTCATCGTTCGATTCTTCTGAAGACTTTGTTGTTATGTTTGATTTGTTGTTGTCGCAACTGCTAAATTGGCAGAGTAAACGTATGAAGCTGCATGGAGTAGCACAGTCGGAAGTGCTGAACGAAGAACCCGAAGATATATTTATAGAAATCGTGAAGAAACAAACCAACGCTTGATACAAGACTACTTTCAAAAGAATGCTACTTTTCAAGGGTACTACTTACGAAGGCGTTTCAGAATGTTCAAACCTTTGTGCAAACGTATAGTCGAAGATATAACGAGGGTGTGATTTTTTCCATCAACATCTCGATGCTAGAGGTACACTCAGTTTCACTCATTTACAAAAATGCACAGTTGCACTTCGTCAATTAGAATATAGCATCATGCATGATGCGTTGGACGAGAGTTTTAAGATGTCCGCTAGGATTGCACGAGATAGTCTCCATTATTTTTGCAAAACTATTATTCAGCTTTATGGGCCAAAATATTTACGTAAGCCTATACGTAATGGCATCATCAAATTGCATTCTCATCATGCTAGCGTATATGAATTTCCTGGAATGTTAGGAAATTTAGATTGTCTACATTGGACATGAGAAAATTGCCTTACCTCACACCATGGTCAATGCAATTTTCCCGAGGTGATCATGGTCATCCAACGATCATACTTGAAACAGTGACATCATAGGAACTGTGTATTTGGCAATTTTTTTTGGTTCTCTTGGTTCGCTTAACAACATTAACGTTCTTAATCGTTCACCTATATTTAATCTTTCTTAATCGTTCCCTTATGGAATATCTGTAGACGTTTCTATGTTTTTTATGCGTTCCCCCGCGTTTAACGCGGGTCATAATCTAGTTATGTATAAAACATAAAATTTTATTTGCTGATAGCTAATAAAATTTAGATTTATCTATTTTAAAAAATATATTTTTTTTAAATTTATCATGATTTGTACTCCGTGACTTCTAGCTATCAACTACATAGTTTTGCCGAATACATAATATTTAGTTTTCTCTAGCTCTTATGGAGTTTGATATAATTTTATTTTTCTAAAAAATTGCAAATACTTAAAAAATTTTAAGCAATCACACATACATCATTTTCTCTTTACCCTTCATAAAATTTCTAAATATCATATTAACCTTCATAAAATTTCAAAATATCATATATGTCATTTATAAACATCAAAATATCATATATGCCCTTCTTAAATATCAAAATATCGTATATGCACTTTTTAAACATCAAAATATCAATGGTAATATTTAAAATATCCTCCATCTAGAACATAATAATAATCAACAACAACAAAAACTAAACAATCAAAATATACATTTCATAGAAAGGGTTGAAGATGAATCTTTTTGTCTGTCAAGAGGCCGACATTCCAACAATTTAGAAGTTCACATTCCATTATCATAGACGTAAGGATAATATGGTTAAATTTCTTAATTATTATAATAATTCTAAGGTATAAAAAATGATTGTAAAATATTAAAAACATTATAAAAAAGGATTTGGGCAAATATGATATTTTGAAGGTTTATGAAGGGTAAATATGATATTGAGAAATTAAGCCGGACAAATATGATATTTTGAAATTTAAGAGAGGCATATATGAAATTCTCCCTAAATTTAATTTGCTAATAGTTAAGAAAAAATTAGTTATAATAAAACATGGATCTTAACAATCCTTCTTACGAAATATTTTTAAATCTGTTGATAAATGAAGAAATTTCGGCGTAACTTCAAAGATCAATTCGTCAACTAGAAAGCCGAATTGTCAACGTAGGACTTGGAGACCCGTACGAAAGGAATATGCAGTTTCACTCGTCATCTTCCTAAATAATTAAGCTTATATATCTTACCAACCTTATATTTTCATAATTTATTATAATCTTTGATAACATTAATATATTAGTTAAGTAAATGTTTAAAAGAGAGTAAAATAATTATAATTTAACAAAAAACTGAAGGAACATGTTTGAACGGGTCCTAAATAATCCTTCGAATATCGAAGCTTTAACAATGCAACTCAGTTTCTATAAAATGAAGCAAACATGATAATAATTAAACATTATATTTTTAAACACTAAGATACAACTCATATACTATACGGATACACGGATGATATATAAAAATATTAAATAAAAATTGTTATATATAATTATAAATATGATACCAATTATATATATATATATATATATATATATATATATATATATATATATATATATATATATATATATGTATGTTCTAAAATAATATGTATAAAATAATTCGTTTGAAACTGTAACGAATATTGTTTATAGATCAAACCGTTTGAATAGTATTGGAAAACAAATTAGTCATTCAATTTTAACCAATGGTGCCCAAAATATTATTATTATTATTATTATTTTTATTTTTTTGTATTATTGTGCAACTAGTATCAGGTCCACCATAAATAAATATGGTGCACCAACTTCTAAAAAATAAGCCCAAAATTTATAAAAGTTTAACATAACTTAATTTAAAAATGAGCCTAAGAAATTGTTTTATATGGATTGTGGAATCTCTTATTCTTAATAAAAAGATTCTTTTAGAAGTTACGTATCCCTCTTTTAGACGTGTCTTTTGCCACATGACACTCTATCCAACAATTTACTCTATTTTTACCCGTTCGATTTCTCATAACTCTATTCCACG